GGTAATTGATTGCATGTACGCAAAAATAAATTGAAAACACATTTTTCCAATATCAATCACCGACTGTGTTTGCGATGGATTTTTAAAGGTAATTAATGTGTCAAGATGAGTTATTACGGTTGACAGTTTAAAAACAAGAACGCGGAGAACGAATTAAAATGAGAGTTGAAATATACGATCGTTCTCAATAACCCATTAGGCTGTATTATGTATGTCTTTGCTTTATTACTTCAACAGTACTTGTAAAATGACATTTTAATTAGGTAGGTACTTATCAGAGTTTGTTATAGTTTCTTGTTTGTTTTTATTACTTTTTTATTTATTTGCTTTTGTCCTTCCTGCATATATATGCGAATAGTCACACCACTGAAATATGTGCTGTCGATTTAAATTATTTGCAGGCAGATTTTGAGATATCTTTAAAGTGGATAGAATAACTGATCTGATTACTTTTTGAATATTTACATGTTGTCTATCCGTGTAAGAGCCAGTAGTCGCGTGTCCGAATAGGRATTTGCTTCTTAAGGGCGAAGCTTATTGAATTCTGACTAAAATATTGCTATTTTAGTACTACCGTAATCGTAATTCGCCAGGTATTTGTGCCTCGCTATTTAAATTACTAATAATTCACAGATTGACAGTGAAAACATACCATTACWCAAAAAGTCAAACGTTACGCCRACTTGAAACTTCGCATCAATATTCGTTMAAATGTAAGTRAATACTATATTTTTAATAGAAAACTGCAATAAATACCATCTRTTTTAAAGCAGAGTAATTCAGTATATGCATTGAAGCTTTATGAAGCWGAAGACTTGATAAGCCTATCACATAAAAATTAAYATTGAACAACGAGAGTGTGAAATTAATGTGAAGTGAGATGAAAAACCGAATAATTTAACCGATGGTCTGAACAATTAACAGTTAATGTATAATAAGTTTCTTAGTGCTAATCACACACTTAAGGTCATTCTTCAGCTCTTATCAATGTTTAACCTATTATTATTGACGGTAACGTTAACTAAATTTGGGCTTCAGAAATTTTGCATATATTCTTTGTTGTACTAGTTTCAAACTACTACTAAAAGGCCCGTAAAAAATATATTCTTCTCTAAGCTTCTGATAAATTTTCTCAAATTGCCAAGGAAATGCTGTAAGAAAAAGTCCTGTTCGCAGAATACTTTAACTTCCAAAACTTGTCAGTGGATTCCACTCACATCAACCCCAATCTGCGTTTGGATGAAACCGATGAACGAAAATTGTCGAAATTCACTTCTGATTCTCATTCAAACAGATCCGAAAAGACAAAAAATGGTCAAAGAGTTAACTTTCCGAATTATAGATTTCTGATTTGCTCTCCGAGTTGGTAGCTGTTAGAAATGCACAACGAAGCAAAACAAGCTACAATCTTAAGTGAGGTATTGGAAACATTGGAAGATAGCGTGCCGGTGAATTCTCAACAGGACAGAAGAAACATTTCAATTATCACCTACGAAATGTACGTACAGCACAAAAGTACGATATTTTTCAGTGCATCTTTTTTACAATATTTATTTGTTGGGCATGGACTTCTTCCAAATCTGATTTCTTCAAAATTTATGTCTATGGAATGCATATTTTAGGTATCAATTTGAGATTTGCTCTATTGTTTCAAATTTTTGTTCTCAATTGATAAGGACGAGGAAGTAATGARAAAAGCAAACTTTCCCACTGCATATAAAACTKAATTTTCTTTGGCAGATTAAAATATAATAATTCTCACGTTAATGTTAGATTTTTGTTGCAGAGTTAAATTTCAATCTTCAATCAAATATATATAAATAAAAGGTTCATTAAATAAAATGCTGCTCAAATCACAGCYCAATTGTTCCTTAACCTTGCATTATTCAACTGAATTTTGACCAGAGACTACCCTTTACACCAGAACGCAGCAAAGTAATAAAAAACTAAAACTAAACTAGTTTTGTGTGAGATACATTATAGATCAATGAGCTCAAAATTGATGTAGAGATAATCCTTCGGCAATGTTCATCCTAAATACGAAACAGAGCGTTTTTAATTAGGCACAACAATTGTCCTCTGAAACAGATTAATTTAATTAGCTGGATCCTCCAAACAGTAATAAGATCGCTACAGATTGTAGGCTCAAAGTGGGCCTTAATTTAATTTGTCAGTATTTTATGAAAGAGCTAAACAGCGAGAGCAGACATGAATATAAAGAATCTCTTTAGAGATTTATTAAATTAGGTGTATTCAGGAATCCGCGGCTGCTTTCCGCAGATAGCGAAAAATATCTTGTTCAGAATTCGTCTCTCGTTCGTCAATGATCTCAATAATTAAAGGAGCCGCAACGGTCTTAATCGATGAACTCATGCTTGACATGAATACCAATAAGCCACTTTTCTTTGATGTTTTAAATACTTTTCCTAAAAGATTCATCAAGCCATATTTGCATAGAGACAAAGTATTACCAATCTTGCTTAATAGCAAAAACGATTGTTTAAAATTCGAGACAGTGACTATTTAATATAGTTTCATTGGTCATCTATGTTTGATGCAAAAACAAAATAAAATTGCGGGCAAAATTTCATTCGTCGGGGATACCAAAAGTAATTTGCTAGAAATGCATGAGCTGTTGTAATTAATTTTGTTTCGCTTTTATGTTGGGTCCACACTGCCTGAATGAAACAATGAATCGCCTCAATCATATTAATATCAGTCCTCCTGTAAATTTGATGAGCGGTATATAAACAAATTTGAGTATTCTGCCTTGTGTTCTGCTTTGCAATGTTATCATATTATACAAAATGTTGAAACTGCTCCTTTGTTGGTCAGCAGGAAATTTCCTACACATTGTAGCATAATTATTTTCAATGTTATTTACAGTTTTGTGCATTTAAACATGTATTGCAGATTTTATATAAATTTGCTGATTATTTATTTATTACAGTTGTAAAGTAGAGATTGAATTTATGGAACATTTAAAAAAATGCAATTCACGAATTGCTGAAACTTGTCTAAATCTGTCTCAAGCTGGATATTTTTGTATTTTTTCTCTTTGAAGGAAATCAATTCCCGTTCATTCGAGTTATCATGCTATCGGTTACCAATTTTTTCATCTTCTTAAGTTTCTACTTCATCTGATTAGTGGATTAATTAATTAATCCCTTACTGGATTAGTCGGTTTTTTTCGACTTTTCTAATCTGTAGACAGATATGCGTGTCGTTAATATTAGGTTTTTCTGCCATAGCTTTTGTTAATCTGTACACATTTATTTTTCAGTCATTTTTTTTCAGTCTTTATTTTCACTATTCCTGCTAGTCCCCGTCGAACCGTATTCCGGACTTTGTCTCTCATCGACTGTGTTTGCTTTTACGCATTATATTGAGCGGTTTGTTCTTGTATGTTGGTTCGAACCAACAGCTAAGTTGAAAAAATTATATCGCCCTTGAACAAGAATGTTTAGGCATGTACTGGAGTGGACGATGTTGCTGAAGCTATCTCTATCCTCTTGAGGAAACTATCTGGGACCTTTTGGTATGTGATTTTATTTAAAGTTCTAAATTTATTTTGGGAAACGTGAAAAGAGCTGTTAGAAACGTTAGCCAAAATTATTTTCTATTTGTTATTTAGTCTCATCTAAGCTTGATATGAAAGTTGTTTACTAAATCCATTAGTTTACTTTCGTTTGATGCAAGTAATTACAGAAAAACATTCAAGCATACAATTGATTTTTCGACGGCGGTTGAATGTATTGTATTCGATTGTGCAAGGTTTGATACATATAAGTATTTTGAAAACGGCAAAGGTTTTTCTGATAAAAATTGGTAAATTTCAATGAACCATTATTGCAAATTCAAGCCACAGCTAAATCTCAGCTTATAAATACATTTTGCGTCACATTGTTTGGATACAGATGTATAGATAAAATCCCATTTTACGATATACGTTTATAGGATATATGTTTTCAAAAAATTGAAAATTGTTCAACTGTTACAAGAGTCCCGTGTATATGTGGCTCACTCTATAATAACAGTTGCAACAAAACCTGGATTTAGGTTTATTTGTTCAATTTTTATGCGTTTATTTTATTATTCAACAATAAAACGTGCAAAGCTCCTATCGCCATTAATAAACTGCCGCAGCAGTGTTATTTTTCAAGCAAAACCGAGCAATCTTGAGTGAAACACATAGCTATCATAAAAATTTTAGTGCGGTTAGGGTGGAGAAACAATAAACCATTACTAATTCAAAGATCCAACAAAAACAACTTACCGAGTTTAAGATATCAGATAGCTTCTCAAGGGTGAGAGAAAGTAGATATTTCTAATGATTTCAGTTGGTCCAAATGCGTCCAAAAGGTCTTAAATTCCAATTGACGCTTGACTCGACCGATTTTCAGATCTACTTCAAGACGAAATTTTATGACGAAACCACGCGAATTAAAATACTTGTGAATTGCAGCTTAGCTTTGTGTAAACGACACTGATACCGCCTGTGGAAAATAAGGTTGGAATAGTTTGGGTTACTTGGGCGCTAAAGTAGCAAAGACGAAATATTGAAAATATATTAAATTTTAGTATCCACTAAACCGAAAATATTCATATAAAAAAACAGCAAGTAAGTAAAATACAATTGAAACCTTCGATCGCTAAGTAAACCGGAAACGTCTATTTCGAATATTTTTTTAAATTCTAGATCACTGAGCAGTTCGGGAAATTAAAACACCTTTAAAAAGTGAAGCGAATTGGTTGCATAGCTTCAGTCAAAAGTCAAATATTGAGCATTTCAAAAATTTGCCATTAGAATATTTTTTTGTTAACAAGTCCTTAAATACAGCAGAGGTATTTATTTATTTTTGAATAGTCATAGAGTTAAAATGCTGGATTTGGATATGGACGATGGACGAAGATGGTTGACAAGCAAATGAATATAATCGTAAAATCTTTAAAGTAGGCTCGTAAAAACTAATCGCTTTAAATCTGAAATATTTACTCACCTATAAATCGGTGTCCCCAAATCTTCACGATACCACAACACTAAAACCACGTTATCACTGGAATCTGGCGTAGAAATATCACATGGCAGAGAAACTGCATCTCCTTGTACGGCATTGATGAAAACTATGGGCACTGAAACAAACAGAATGCCGTCAATTCAACTCTTTCATAATTTAAATGTTTTTAAATTATAAGGAACAACACGCCATTTTACATTTGATTATTATTGGGGCCTTTGTGGATTTACCCAAGTATGCCATCTGGAATTCTGAAACAAACAGTAAGAAGCGAGATGATACTCCTGTGAGCCTTACTCCATCCGCAAACCTCAAAGAACTTTCTAATCGAAGAATCCGCCCTTCGGTGAAGGGAAATTAAGAGGTTGAGATCTCGTTTTTCGAAACAATAAATTAAACTTCAAAAGGAGGATTTCCTTCTTGAACTCGCAATAAGGGAAAGTTTCATCAGAGGCTCGAATTGTAGCATAAATCAGGCAGGTAGCATTAAAATTTCCAAGTGAAGTAAAATCGTTAATTTCAAACAGAATTTACATTTTCAGTATATTCTTAGAATTCCATCAAATGGTCTTCAGATTTTAGATACGATAGATAAGATAGGATTTCTTTCTCATGAAGTTCATCTTATTCGATTTTTGCGACATTATATTATTGAAAATTCAGTCATTTTTTGTCTCTATTTATCAATTAAAATACGTTTCGGTGTATTTTTCCACCATCATCAGTTTTTCTAAAATAACAGCTAATTAAAAAAAATAATTAATTTAAAAAACAACCACAGTTCGTCAACAGCCTCATCATATCACACATTAAAATACATCACAATTGCAATACTTTAAAACATTCTTAAATTAATTAGGCCTAACAGATGATTGGTCAGGACAATCAAATTTGGGAAGAGACTAGAATTCTTCGTTCAGATACTTGAATTGTGATAACACATACATAGGTCAAACTGGACAATATCTAAAGAACAGAATATACGAACATAAGTATAGCCTAAGAAAAAATAACGAAAATGGTACAGCATTAACACAGCATGCACAACAGAAGTTGCATAATTTTGATTTTGATAACACAAAAATACTGATTAACGAGAGTAATTATAATAAGAGAAGAGTCCATGAAATGATACAGATTAAAAAACATAACAATGCTATAAATTTCAGATCGGATACCGCCAATCTTAGCTCAGTATATCATACATTAATTAAATGAAATAAACATAGAATATTAACTAACACCCGGTATATTGAAGAATTTTGCAAACCAAAAA